ATTATGAGATGTAAGAATAAGTTTCCATGACCAAAAACGTTCAACCTTCCTCTGTGAGGCATTCCAACGACTATACTCTCGAGACCCAGGTTAGCCGCCCGGTCGAATATCTCCTTCATGCCTGGGATCAGAGTTTCCCCACCTTCAAGACCGAGCGAATCTTTTAGCCATTTCCATCTTTGTGGCTAAGAAATTCTCAAATTGGGTGCTCCAAATCAGACGATCAAGAATCACTAACTGGCGATCTCGAGTGTACTACAATTCAGTAGGGGTTTCGGATTTGTTCCCTTAACCAATTGCGTTTCTCCTCATATCCAATGCTGCCGCAGTAGGCCTGTTCGAGCCCGGCCAGGATCGATTGGAGAGTCTACACCGGACGGTTATGGGATAAAAACTCGGACATGTGCCAAACCGACCCCCTTGAAGAATTCCCAATCAAGATCAACTTCTTTGAAACCGTAAATAATGCAGGGTCTAACTCTGCCGGAGTTCCCCTCTGTTCCAGAGACAGACGGGATCCAATTTCGCCTTCATGTGGCCGTTAACTTGGTACGCCCTGACAAGCAACAACAAAAGCATGTGCTCTTGTAACTATTGACAAGATACAGCTGCTGGCGTGGGGGCCTGTCCGACAAATTCTGGAGGAAATTGTCCCAGGAGTCATCACGCTAGTAGGGTCGGCTTCCCAAGGTCTCCGAAGGTCTTCTAAGTAGACAGCGTACGTCCCGTCAAGAAAGGTGTCGGAAAGTTGGGGGAGGGGACCGTACGGAAAACCGTCAAGGATCGATTGCTCTTTTGATCTGAAGACCGTGGCATGGAAATGCCGATGCTTTGAGGGAAAAATCCTTCCTTCGGCCGTCTGGTATGATCCATTCCGAAGGAGGATTCGTCTGAGGGCCAGCCTCGCTGCTACATTACAAGTTGTTCTAAACCATGCCATTGTTATGGATTCAAGCTATCAAAAGCACAAATTTTGTTAAATAAATTAACACCAAAAATAAATAATAAATGAAATAATGCATGAGTCCATGCACGTAGAAAGGGAACAAGAACAGGAAATGTTGCTTTTTTGAGGTTTGTTTAGTTGAAGGAGGCAATTCTACTGTTTTCTTTTGCTTGATCTTTGAACCTATTCAACTTTTATTAAAGAAAAAAAAAAGTGTTAACAAGTACTGAAGTAGCTCAATAATCACCTTTCAATGGTGTTAAGGTTGGATTAAGGGATGAATTCTCCATTCTACAATTCAAGGTAAACATATTAAACAAAAAAAAGAAAAAAGAAAAAAGATAATTGATGCATAATTTAATCAATATTACTTAAGTTTAGTCTTCATTTTAATTAGTTATTAACTTAATAGGAGTATTGGCATGTCTTGCATCATGCTTAAAGCCTTGGACTTAGTAGAATTAGAATAGGAAAAACATTCCATAACAGAGCAAAATATGGATGAATATTTCAACACATATTAAAGGTACGTATCTTACTAATTAAGTTGCAAACTTAAATTTTTGTAAACTTTTTGTAAAGAATATGTACCTACACTTCAAATTCTCCAATTTTAATATAAAAAAATAAACATTTACAAAAAATAAAACAAAATAAAATTATATTGAGTTAAAAAAATTAATGAGTTATAAAAAATAAATAATAATACTTTATTTTATAATTCAAACTATAACAAAAATTAAAATGTAAAATACAAATTATTAAATAATAAAATCTATCATAATATTAAATTTTATAATTATAGATAAAAGACAACATCTCGCTGTCAAGAGTCCCTTTCTCGGCCAGGGTTGTGTCACTTTAATTTCTAAAACATAAATAACAAAACTTTTATATTTTATTTCCGTTATGTGAAATTATTATTTTTAGAAAATCAATAATGGGTTATAAAAATGACTAAAAACAAACAAATAATGAGAAATTACTTCGTTACACAAGCAAATAGCAAATATATGGTGCGTTCAAGCCTATGCACATATAAAAGCTTTTACCCAATCCCATTGTAGCAAAGTCGTGTGAAATTCAGAAAGTCCCCACGAATTTTACGCGAAGAAGAAGAGTGTGAGAAATAGAAAAATCGTTGGACGCTCTGGTATCTCTCCCATGTGCTTGCTGCCTTCCGTGTCCTGAGGTTCGCTTCCACTCTCTCGTCACATTCGTGATCTCATGTTGGGATTCTTGTGTTTATTTGTCTCTGTACGAATGAGTGTTACACCATATTTGGATGCAGATACTGATAGAAAGATTAGTTTTTGCTGGGATTTCGTTTTGAGAATCGATGGCTGCACCACCGGTGAGAGCTCGAGCAGATTACGATTACCTCATTAAGCTTCTTTTGATTGGCGATAGCGGTTAGTTTTTGTTCCCCCCCCCTCACCATTTTCTCTAATATACTCTATAGGTTATATTTCATGGAAAAGGCGTGGTCTTGAAATTGAAATTTTTTACCCAGTATGGTTGTGTAAGTTTTGATTTTGTGGGTATTTGGTTTTGATGAGTAATTTGATGGTACAGTGTAGATGGGTGTTGGAGGAGGGATTGGATAACATATGGGTTCTTGATTTGTGGTGTGATTAGTGTGATCTTTCATCGTTGGTGCTTTCGTCATGCCTACTTCCTTTTACAGAAATGGGTTCTGTTTCAAGTTCGGTTTAGCCCATTTTAGATGCCATATTTCTTTACCAGTGCTTTATGAAAACTGACTTTGAATATGCACGTTAATTCTGAATGTTGTGTTTATATGTCTCATTAAGTCTGGTACTTGGGAGGTTATTGTGTGATTTATGTTTACCCTGGGAAATATTTATAACAATTTGCGGGCTAATATTATGATATAGGTACTCAGGTCAAGAATCTTTTCTAAATCTTTGCAGGTGTGGGGAAAAGTTGTCTGCTTCTGCGATTCTCTGATGGGTCTTTTACAACCAGTTTTATTACAACCATTGGGTTTGTATCACTGGAACTTATAAACAGTTTATTGTTTATTTTTATATCTGAAATCAGAATGCTGAGGAGAGCATTTAAGTATGGTTTCCAGGTTTCCGGTTGTATGAAGTTTACAGTACCATATCCGTTCAACAATGCTTTTGTGACTCATGAATTTGGAACTTCTGTTTTAACATTTTTCAGTCTCTCCTTCTAATGTACTATTATATTTACGTTGACAGTATTGATTTTAAGATAAGAACCATTGAACTTGATGGCAAAAGAATTAAATTGCAAATTTGGGATACAGCTGGTCAGGAGCGTTTTCGAACTATAACAACAGGTTTGTGGTTGGGCTGGTGGAAGTTGGTTATCCTTTTTGTCTTTTCCTTTTTTCTTCTTTTCAGAGAGATGTAGATAGATGGCTTCAATGTTAGTTTCTGGGAGATGTTAAAGGTCAGATAGAGCATTGCTTCCATGTTATTTTGGGATGTAAAATAAATCCTGAGATAAGCGAATATATGTGGTGGAGGAAATGTACTTCTGAGACATGAAGAAGAATGTCTGTTTGTGATATGTGAAAAAATTGACTACAATTGTCAAACAGTTTTAGAAACTTTGGTATTTAGGACTCAGAATGATTTTGTTAGGTTGAAATCTTATTAACAGTTCTAATAAATCACATGGATGAGCTGTCTCCTAGACTTCTGAATATGAGATCTAGACTGTTTTCTGGTTGCTAGTGTAGGTAATTCAGTCTTATGAAATATCTTTCTATTTTAATTTTAAATTTAATCCCTGACTTTGCCAATGCATTTATGCTACACTGCAGCTTATTATCGTGGAGCCATGGGGATCTTGCTAGTCTATGATGTCACTGATGAGTCATCTTTCAATAGTATCTTCTTGACTTCCTTAGCCTTATTTTCAATTATCATTGTCCTTTAATGATAACTTGTAAAAAATATTTGCACCTTAATGGATTGATATGGCTTCTTATATTCTTTTTCATTATTTGTTGACTTGTTTCCTTGGATGGCATTAGCCAGTTTCTCTTTTCCCATCCACTTTTTCATCAAGTTGAGTGGCTGAATATGCATATACTCTTTGGGATGACATATCTTGTGTATTTGGTGAGGCCTGCTGTGATGATCTACAACTCTTGCAAGTCTTATAGAACTTTTTTCTCATTGTTTACAGATATTAGGAACTGGATTCGCAATATTGAACAGCATGCTTCTGATAATGTGAACAAGATACTAGTGGGGAACAAGGCTGACATGGATGAAAGCAAAAGGGTAAATGTTTTTTGATTTATAACTTGTAGAACACTGCTTGTCCTGCTAAGCTTGTAGATTTGCCTAAGTAACCAGGCAAGTACATTTCTATTGTATCTTGATCTGCTTGTTATGCCACTTCTAGACTCACCTTAAAAGTCTGACGAGAAGGATGAGTTGTAGATGGATCTCATCCTTGTGACTTAAAAGTCTAGGACATTGATGTGGCTCCTTATTTCTCTCTTTGCATGTGCACATGTTACTTCGCTAATAATTAGGAAATATCTTTTGTTTTTTAGGCTGTGCCCACTTCAAAGGGTCAAGCTCTTGCCGATGAGTATGGTATCAAGTTCTTTGAAACTGTAAGTAACATTTAGTCTTCTGAGTAAATACTTGCAACACTGTCACTACTTCTGCTTATGGCAAAAGAAAATCTTCTGTAGAGTGCAAAGACAAATATGAATGTCGAAGAGGTTTTCTTTTCAATAGCCAGGGACATTAAGCAAAGGCTTGCTGAATCTGATAATAAAGTTGAGGTACTCATTCAATTTCAATTTCCAGCAAGCAAGTAGATAACTTCCATCTCAAATGGATCCCCGGCATTGTTGCCAAATTTTCACTAATGCATCACCTTTTTCATCCTTCCAGTCCCAAGCAATCAACCTTAATCAATCGGGTCAGGCAGCAACTGGTAGTGAAGCAGCCCAGAAGTCAGCTTGCTGTGGCTCGTAAAGGGAATCAAAGTATGCAGACTGGGGTGGAACCTCCAACCTTCTGCAGTTAGTCAGTTATAAAACTGATCAAAGGGACACTGGTGTTCTCATGTATTTATAGCTGTGTTTTATATTTCAACTACTGGGCTGATTCTGTCAAGGACATTCCTTTCATTGCTTAATTTGTCGAATTTAAGACACATTTATCCCTACTCGAACTTAGTTAACTCTAAGCATGTACTTAGGATATATTTATGTAGATGGAGGTAAAAGGACTATACAATATAAATCACAATGTAGGATTAGTTTTTTATGGTTGTATTAAGAAGGTGAGTATGCATTGGCGCCTCTCTTCTTTCCCAGTGTTTGATCTAGAGAGGTAACTCCCTCTTTTCCTTTAGTGAAAGTAGAAAGAAAATGTAGAAAGAAAATTAAGATGTTTTGAGTTAAAATAAAAAGGATTTTAAAAAATAGTAAGTCATAAAATAAGTATTACATAATATGGATATAAAAATGTACCCAAAAAAAAGTATGGATATAAAAAAGTGTTGTGTAATTAAAAATAATTAATTGCACACAAAATATATTAATTACATAATTAAAATTATTAAATGAAATTTAATTGAATATAAAAGGGTTTTTTACTTAATTATTTTTGTTTTTTAATTTAAATTATAAAATAAAAAATTCAAGTATATATCAATTAAATCTCACTAATTATGTGACTATCACGACAAATTGATTTTTTATTTTTTCATTATAGCTCTGAAAAATGGTTTTTCATTTTCCTTCACGAGTAAAGTAATTTTTTTTCTTCACATCTAAAATACTTCTTCTAAACGAAAAAAAAAAAATCTGAGATTGGAAATGGTCCTAAAATCTCGAGTAGTAATTTTTACCATTACTCTTTGTAGCAGGGGAACAAAATAAATAAATAAAGTTTAGTTTAAAGGAAAAATCATAAATATTTACTACAATAATATTTAAATCTAATCCAAGGAAGGAAAGATGCGATGGAAAAATAAAATAGGGAATAAATTGCGAAAAATATAAAGCAAGGAGTCAAGGACTATGCTTCCGTCTTCAAAAGGCTCAAGCCACGGTCACCGTCACTGTCGTCGTGCTAGGGTTTCTCCATTTCCGTTCATTTCTCTTATTTTCCAGGTACTGACTTTACTTTCCTGCTCTTCAAAGACTCCTTAGTCTATCCTTATCGTATCTGAAACAGTGTTTGTCGACTGAACTATTCTGGAAATCTGCTGTTTTACGAAAGGAATCTACATCATTTACTTTTCGATTGGTAAATTTATTTTGTTGATTTATTGATCTCATTAGCTGTATGGCGTTTTTGAAATTGAAAAGTTCTTCATTCTCTGTTTTTGCTGTTGATTTATCGATGCTTGCTTGTTTAAGCAGCGGTGTGCTGATTTGCTATTGATTTCGGATTGGATGAGTGTGATTCAATAATTTTTAGGTAGATTTTGAATTTTTGATGTAGAATATAGATTTTATGATAGGTGATTTGTTTATGGTACATATTTCAGTTTTGATTTTTTCTTCTTGTATTGTGATTAATATAGGCTGACTATTGCTAGATGATTCCACAGATGGTTTCAATCAAGGCCTGCACCTAGAGGTTATAGTTTTGAAGATTGGTGGTTTTAGATATTTTGATCGACATCCATGGCATGGTTTAGGGCTGGTTCTAGTGCAGCAAAATATGCTATTAGGAGGACATTGTCTCAGGGTGGATCACATGCAACAAGAACACGTGTACTTCCATCACAGAACAGATATTTCCATACCACAGTGTTTAAGTCAAAGGCACAGACTGCTCCTGTCCCTCGTCCTGTACCTCTTTCTAAGCTAACTGATAGCTTCTTGGATGGAACCAGTAGTGTCTACTTAGAGGAGCTTCAAAGGGCTTGGGAAGCTGACCCCAATAGTGTTGATGAATCATGGGATAATTTCTTTAGGAATTTTGTGGGTCAGGCTGCCACATCCCCTGGAATATCCGGCCAGACAATTCAGGAGAGTATGCGCTTGCTGTTGCTTGTGAGGGCTTACCAGGTAAATGGGCACATGAAAGCAAAGTTGGATCCCTTAAATTTGGAGGTGAGAGAAATCCCGGATGATTTGGATCCAGCCCTCTATGGTTTCACTGAAGCAGATCTTGATAGAGAATTCTTTTTAGGTGTGTGGAGGATGTCTGGGTTTTTATCTGAAAACCGACCAGTGCAAACTCTTAGGTCTATATTGGCTCGGCTTGAGCAGGCTTACTGTGGAAGCATTGGGTTTGAATACATGCACATTGCTGATCGTAATAAGTGTAACTGGTTAAGAGAGAAGATTGAAACCCCAACACCAATGCAGTATAGTCGGCAGCGGCGAGAGGTCATTCTTGATAGGCTCATATGGAGCACACAGTTTGAAAATTTCTTGGCCAATAAGTGGACAGCAGCCAAGAGGTTTGGGCTTGAAGGCGGGGAGACTCTGATTCCTGGCATGAAAGAGATGTTTGATCGGTCTGCAGACCTTGGGGTCGAGAGCATTGTTATTGGAATGTCTCACAGAGGAAGATTGAACATGCTGGGTAATGTTGTTCGAAAGCCACTCCGTCAAATATTTAGTGAGTTCAGTGGTGGTACAAAGCCTGTGGATGAAGTTGGGCTCTATACAGGAACTGGTGATGTCAAATATCACCTGGGAACTTCTTATGATCGACCTACTAGAGGTGGAAGGAGAATTCACTTGTCTTTAGTTGCAAATCCAAGTCACTTGGAAGCAGTGGACCCAGTTGTTGTTGGAAAAACCAGAGCAAAGCAGTACTACTCCAATGATGTGGATAGGACCAAGAACATGGGGGTCTTGATTCATGGGGATGGTAGCTTTGCTGGACAGGGTGTAGTCTATGAAACTCTTCATCTCAGTGCACTTCCGAACTATACAACTGGTGGGACCATACATATTGTTGTCAACAACCAGGTGGCCTTCACCACTGACCCAAGGGCAGGAAGATCTTCTCAGTATTGTACTGATGTTGCCAAGGCCTTGGATGCCCCAATTTTCCATGTGAATGGAGATGATGTGGAGGCAGTTGTTCATGCCTGTGAGCTCGCAGCAGAGTGGCGCCAAACCTTCCATTCAGATGTTGTGGTTGATTTGGTCTGCTATCGTCGATTTGGTCACAATGAGATTGATGAGCCATCTTTCACGCAGCCCAAGATGTACCAGGTCTGTCCATTTGCTCAAATATTTACTTTAAAAAGTCACCCTAGGGGTTCTTGCTCTTATATTTTCTGGTTCTGTTTGATTCTTTTGTGTGTGAACAGATCATCCGAAATCACCCCTCATCTCTTCAGCTCTACCAGAAGAAACTGTTAGATTCTGGGCAGGTTACACAGGAAGATATTGACAAGATAAATGAGAAGGTCAGTTCAATTCTCAATGAAGAGTTTGTGGCAAGCAAAGATTATGTTCCCAAAAAAAGGGATTGGCTTTCTGCATATTGGGCTGGATTTAAGTCACCTGAACAGATTTCACGTGTCCGAAACACTGGGTATTTTGACTTCTTTGTCTCCATAACTTTCTTTTTGATGGATCTAATCTGTAATAGCTGTTAAAATTGTGTTATCGTGCAGGGTGAAACCTGAGATATTGAAGAATGTTGGAAAAGCAATCACGGTGTTTCCAGAGAATTTTAAGCCTCATAGAGCAGTGAAGAAAGTCTATGAGCAGCGTGCACAAATGATTGAAACAGGAGAAGGCATTGACTGGGCGGTTGGGGAGGCACTTGCTTTTGCTACATTACTGGTAGAAGGTAACCATGTTAGGCTGAGCGGTCAGGATGTTGAAAGAGGTACATTTAGTCATAGACACTCTGTAGTTCATGATCAGGAAACTGGGGAGCAATACTGCCCTCTGGATCATGTTATCATGAACCAAAATGAGGAGATGTTTACTGTAAGCAACAGGTATTGTGAATCAACCACCTCCTTTGTTTAAATCCTTCATTCACGGGTATATTTGCACAATATTCCCCTTTTTCACTTTTACATACAAATTTCTTTAGTTTGTTTTACTTGAGTTGATATAAAAGCTTGTTTCCTGAGCAATTTGTGTTCTTGAGTGCAGCTCTCTTTCAGAGTTTGGTGTTCTTGGGTTTGAATTGGGGTACTCAATGGAAAATCCAAACTCTTTGGTTCTCTGGGAAGCCCAATTTGGTGACTTTTCTAATGGAGCTCAGGTAATGTTTGATCAATTTCTGAGCAGTGGAGAGTCAAAGTGGCTGCGTCAAACTGGTCTTGTTTTGCTGCTTCCTCATGGTTATGATGGCCAAGGTCCTGAACATTCAAGCGCACGCCTAGAGCGTTTCCTTCAGGTACTCCCATGGAAGGATATGTATTGTCCAAAACATGATGAAACAGCAGAAAATCATGGTTTTTCTTGCCTTAAAAATTTGATTCTATTTTCTATTCCAATCTTCCAAAGTGGTGGTTATTGGTCTTATGTGTGTGTCCATTTATTGCAGCCGTTAGGAGATACAGCCATCCTGGACTAACATATGTATATAAATTTTGTGACAGATGAGTGATGACAATCCATATGTTATCCCTGAGATGGATCCAACTCTACGTAAACAGATTCAGGAGTGCAACTGGCAGGTTGTCAATGTTACTACTCCTGCTAATTACTTCCATGTTTTGCGGCGTCAGGTGAGTGCAGCTAATAAGTTAGTATTACGTTGTTTCTTTATCAGAATGTTTTACCTTCGTTACTGTTCTTCATTTCCCAGATACACAGGGAATTCCGAAAGCCTCTCATCGTGATGTCCCCCAAAAACTTGCTTCGTCACAAGGACTGCAAATCAAATCTTTCTGAATTTGATGATGTCCAAGGTCATCCTGGTTTTGACAAACAGGGAACCAGATTTAAGCGCCTCATAAAGGATCAGAATTACCACTCTGATCTTGAGGAGGGTATCAGACGTTTGGTTCTTTGCTCTGGGAAGGTGTGTTATGCTCTTGGTTGTGGCTTGTTAACTTGTTCCATCAATTTGTAAAAGAAAGCTTATTCTGGACTTGCATTTACTCAATTATAGAAACTCTGAAATTCCAAGTATCTTGTAGTTTAGTATTTTTGTTTGCTATCGATACTAAGCTGAATGTTTCTTTCCTTTCAGGTTTACTATGAGCTTGATGAAGAGCGAAAGAAGGTTGGGGCAAGTGATGTTGCTATATGTCGTGTGGAACAGCTTTGCCCCTTCCCCTATAATCTCATACAGCGAGAACTGAAACGATATCCAAGTATGTTGCCCAAACTTGCCTCTATCGTAGTAGTTGTGCTGTAGATATTTTATATGAGAAACTGTATTCTATTTGATTTCTTTATGGCCCGGTAATAGAAGAATTTGAAAAAATAACATTATAATTCAGTTTTAGCTGTCTTATATTGATGTGAGGAAATAAGACCAATGTTGATTTCTGAATATAAGTAAAACTGTTACTAGCTACTGCACAATTTGCTGTAGTATTTCCTAGATAGTCATATGTATTGAGCTTCTCTGTGAATGGAAATGAGCTGGTAGGCTATCTGCTAGGTAGTTTGCTGTCAGGTTTCGTAATATTTCATTTATTGTGATTTTTTTTATTTTAACTGATTATCTTATGGTCATCTCTATTTTTTCTCTTTGTTCTTTTAGATGCGGAGATTGTTTGGTGCCAGGAAGAACCAATGAACATGGGTGCATACAGTTACATTTCACCCCGGCTTTGCACTGCAATGAAAGCACTGGGCAGAGGATCCATGGAAGACATCAAATACGTTGGTCGTGCTCCATCTGCTGCAACAGCAACTGGTTTCTACCAGTTTCATGTGAAGGAACAAACCGAGCTCGTACAGCAGGCCATGCAACGTGAGCCTATTGAGTATCCTTAATGAGCACTCAGCAAACCAATCTTTATTATAGCATACAATTTTCACAATAACAGGATCTGAAACTCCAAGTTTTCCTGTTTGCGTTTACGGTTGAGGCGCCACTGTAATCACGCACACAAAAGTTGAATTGTTTACCTAGACTTTATATATATGCTTCATTCTGAAGCATTTTCATCGCATGTTGTTGTTTTCGCTCAATCAATGAACTCTATGATTAATAGATTTTCAATTGAATGATGAAATAAAAAAGTGACTCCCAGTATATATGAACCGTTTTCACTAGCTCTAAACCATTGAGATGACATGTAATCCACGGAAGGTAAAATTTTACTTTTATTTTATTTTAATAAGTTTAAGAGTTAGTTTTTTATTATATATTATAATATTTTTAGTTCTCTATCTATATTATCTATATGAATTAAAAAAAAAATTCTCTCACTTGATATGAGATTATAACATTCATTAATTGATAATTAACATTTTATTAATTTTATTTGTTGTCATCGTCACTTAAGTTAATTTATGAGAGTTAGACATGTCACTCTAGTTTATAAGGGTAGGAAGTTTCCTACCTTTATAATAAAAAAATGGGAAAGCTTCCTCGGCAAACGTATTGCATTTTTTTGAAAATTCTAACATTTTTTTGGATTTTTATTTTTAAAGAGTACTATATATATATTATATATAATTTTTACATATTATTAAATAAATAACAATAATTAATACCATAAGTTTCAAATAAATAAAAAAATTAATAAAATACATAATAAAATAAAAATGGTTT